AACTATTGTTGAATGCAATATTTATGAATTTGATTGATGGCCACTAGACAGGGAAGAAAACTCAACGCCACGAATTTTGCTCCCTCGTCATGACTTTCGTGGAACAGGGTGAAAACGTCAAAATTCCCCCGACGAGAGGGATTAAAGATATTCCTGAGTTCGTCAATTCAAAGTTTCCGCTTTCCAAAAAACAATAGAAAGTTGGTACTTTTTTTTGGCCAACGTGCGCAAAAATTCAGATTAAAAGTGAAAATTTCAATACAGAGGAGAAAAGCCCATTTGAGCGCAATTTTCTCTCAAAGAGATATGCTGTTTGGTGCAACACTAGTTACGACCTTTCAGATAGACAACTGCAGACGCGTTTCGGGTCTAATTCAGATTTGAGAATTTTTGCTTAAATTTGATTTTTCTCTCTGCAGAGAGATTGTCAGTTTTAAACTGAATTCGTACGCAAGTTTGCCCAAAAATACCAACTTCCTGTCCGAACGACTCGTGTGTCAAGCCGTAATTAGTTTACATAAAAAGCCAAAACAGTTTTCTTGTATGAAATTGAACGTACAAATTATTTTAGTGTTCTTTGCGATGAAATTCTTTACACCATGGGGGAGCATCCTAAAGTTTGCAGCACGCGGGGTGTCTCTAAAGTGGAACTGACTTTTTTTGAGATCAAATATAGCTTTTTTGGGGCTAATAATGAAACATTCAAACCACTATCGTTTTTGTTGAATTGTTTGATGATCCCTGATTGGTTTGTATTTATAGTTGATAAAGAAGCCTCAAGAAAACAGGAGGAAGTTTTGATGAGGCAACCTTGTATAAAATTTAAACGAACGTGAAAACACTCATCAGGCTTCCCATTGTGAAGCGAGAAGATTGATTTTTGATCAGATTGCCAAGTGCCCATCGTTCACTCTGAAACCACCTCTCAGTTCACTTTCCGAGACACATCGTTACCAGTTATCACTTTGTGAGCTCAGCGACTCTGTTACGGTGGGCTAATATGTCGTGCTCAGGAAGAATGCACACCGAAAAAAAAGAAGTGTTACGCCAACAACTGACACCGCTGATTTTACGACCCGATGTTGTTGAAAAAATGTGCCAGGACGGCATGCGTTACTTTTACAGCTTCAGTGGATGTTAATTTACAAACCTGATAGATGTTTCTGAAAATTTCAAAGTAAAGAGAAATATGCAAGAATATCGTCAAAAAAATATGTTTCAACAAGGGAAATTCGGCAACTCTCGAATGTGTTTCCTTAGCACGGCGGTAATACTGCACAGATAGTTGAAACTTCTTCTGGATATCGTATTATCCCTATCCAATTCATGCGTCGGCTTGAAAATCAAAACCGGAGGCCTGATTTGAGCACTGACAATGTGAGAAATATTAAAGGAAAATGACAGTACCGACTTTTCTGATATTGAAAGGCTATGATTCGCAGTTAATTTTCTTTGGTTAACAATGAACCTATTTCTGAATATTTGGAAACGTACTATATTTTCGGCGTGAAAAGTAGACGAGAAAGTGAGGAAAATATTACCTTAAATCTAGTTTACTGATCTTATAAAGGAAAGAGGGTATTGAGGGTCCGTAAGTTGTTTCCGTGGATCGTGAGTCGCTGGAGTGTACGGTGGCTTTAGACATCTTTATTTTGAAAATCGATGCAGCCAATTTAACCAGTTCCAGCAACACTGCAATCACAACGTAACATGCGCTCGAGATCTTGTTAAAATGTCACTCTTCCAAACCCTTTCCTCATTCCAATCGGTGGAATAATCTACCACGCTTGGGTAAAACACCGTATGAGCATTCAAGTGTTGCCAAATTTCCCCTGATGAAACATCTATTCTTAGAGAGACTGATGAACATTTTTTCTCGGAATTATCAGATATACTTTAGAGTAAATTATGAACAAAATTAACTGAGGCTTGAAAAAAAAAAATATCCCCAAGTTTACCGGAAAACGAAAAGAAAAGAAACTTGAAAGAAATTTGGCAACATCCGAGGGTTTAAATGTTGTTCTTCCTATGGCAGTAATACTCGTGACAAGAAGATCGATTTGGATTTGCAGTCGAGGATATGCCTCGTGTCTTATCCAAAATGTCACTCTTCTTCGAAGCGAGACTCAAGAAACTGGATTATTAACGGTGTGTAGGAACACCGAAAATAGTCTGGAGACTTTCGGTATACCTGAACTTTTAAATATAAATTCCATTTAAAAGACCATGCTACTGAGGATATTTAGTGCAAAATAATGCATTATTAGTTTAATAATTGAAACTTATTGCTAAAAAACAGTGTACATCTGGCCATAATGAAAAAAAAAAAAAAAAATTCTCAGCACTAAGGTTCGAATTCGGTATGAAACTGAAAAACACGCCATTGTATGTCTGTCGTGTTCCTATCCTTTGCTGGAAAGTATTCTTTAAAGAAAATTGTCTGATTATACCCAGAAATTCAATTTTGTTGGCAGGCACGTCTATTCTCTTTTTGATGTATGATTTTGTCGTGAAAGTATTTTATTTCGTTATAATCTGACTCTCTGAGTTTTATTTGAATGTTGTATTTTAAAAAAATATAATTCGTTCCAAGAGAGATGTCTTATTTTTGTACATTTTACCGGGATATACAGCGAATATTACATCAAGCTCTTTGCATACCATTCACGACTCAGGGGATAAAATTTCGATCAAAATTTTCCATTTAATACACAAGAAAACTCCCCTCACATTAGCTTCCATTTTCTTACACTTCATTAGAAAGACCGCTAAAATCTCGTCTAATCATACTTTTTCAGGTCTTCAGTTGGAAATTCAATCTTAAAAAATTACATTTCATAAAGCTTTCTCTTTTAAAAAATTCCCACGGTAAAATACGTTTAACTCTCTGATGAAATCAAAACGTAAAAGTGTGTACGATTTTCACCTCGTGATGTCAACATATCTCTTACTTTTCTAACGCTGCGTTCAAGTCTCTCAAATCACTCGTTGATCCATTGCCAAAATATCACAATATTTTTTGATAAAAGTAAAGTACTTTTATTTAATCTTAGATGACGAACAAAACTAACTTATTTGCAAACAATTGACTGCTAATACTTTGAACGTACAGAAAAAGAACTCCTCTTATCTTTGGTTATAGATTCCCAGTGGCGCGGCGTGCTTTGCGATATTTCGATTGTTCTGTCATTTAAACCTATGGTAGAGAATCGATTATTAAGGTGTTCGCTGCGAAAACCCAGATTATCGATCCTTTTCTATAGGTTTAAATGACATAACAATCGATATATCGCAAAGCACGCCACACCACTGTAGATTCCGTTTCCTTCATACTTCGCCTGAGGAGGCTCTGAATCACCGCTGGATCGATCTTGCGAGGTCGCGGCACACAGTGAATTGAATCAATAGGAGGGATCAGACAAAATTTGGAAACTTTAAAGCCTATAACCCCGTATATACAAAAATTTGAGGTTCTAAAAGTAGTTTCATTGGTTTACCTGTAAAATTTTCTTCTAAAAACACCCCTTGAAATTGAAAATGTGACGAAATAAACATCAAAATTCGCAGTTCCAGTCAAAAATTACTTGTCCGTCCTCTCTAATCGACTCAATCCACTGTGCGGCACGGCTGCGGCGTGGCGCTTCAAAAAACGAATTTGAAAGTGTGCTTGCAGCGGGATAAAATTACTCCGATAACCTTGAAACGTGTCTCATAATGAGAACAGCAAAACGGTTGCAAATTCGTTTGCAAAATCTAACGATTTCTAGATTTCCCAAGTAACTTTGGATCTCACCGATAAATTGTTATCAGGCACACGCGCAGTGTCAATTTCACGTTGACGTAATTTAACAATGTCATACATTATTTTCTCTTTCATATTAATCAGCACTGATTTTCCTTGCAAAGAAAAAAAGAGAATACCGAGTTCTCAGCACTTCGGGAAATACTGAGTATTTGATCGAAGGAGCCACAACCTGCAACCCTGGATGATTCAGTCACGATATTCACCGCTTAGCTATAATGAAGACAAAAGTTCATGTCAATGGCTTTAAGACTTAGATACTCCCGACTCCCGCCCACCAGGCAGGAAAGAAGGTCTCCTACCTCTATGAGTTCAGAAAAATCAAGTCAAACGATAGTGATTATCCGTCATGTGGACTTCAGGTTTTAACTAAACGGTAACAATCTATTCGGTTTCGTATTCCCGCCCTAAAAATCAAAAGTCTTACAAAGAACAGCAGTTTTTTTAAAAGACTCATTTTTCTGATTATTATATATATTGAAAACATGGAGGAAAGATTCATACTCAAATTCTTCCCTCCTGCCTTTTTTTTCTTTCTTTTTTTTTATTTTAATTTTTTTTGCAATTATAAAGACCGACCGCTTTTTTGTTCCAAAACTTCAAACGTAGTCATCATTTTAGGAATCAAGATCACCCGTATGTATACAACAGGAATCAACAGGAATATTGTAAAAACTCAACCCTTGAATGCGATTTTTCAAATATTTCACTCATAACACTGCACTATGTCTCAGTTCATTAAGTTTGGCATCCTTTCACGGAACTAAAGGATATTTATGAAAGAGGAGGAAAGAAACGGTGCACAGTGTTTTGAAATTATATGAATTATATTATCTGAGCTGACTTTCAGTCATCTTNGGGGGGGGGGGGGGGGGGCAAGAAATTTACAACGGCGCACACCAAGATGGGCATGTCTATCTTGAATACATATGAGTATGTGAATAGCTTTTATAAAATAGGAATCAAAATTGTGATTTAGTTTTGAAACGACAAAATCTGTCTTTCTCCTCCCAAGTGGGTCACGTGCGTAAGAATTTTCATACACTTCGCTATTTTTTTCAGGAAAATCCGTATAATTACGATTTTGTTAGGTACTTATACGAACTAAAAAAGGGAAAGAAAGCCATAAAAAACCTAAACCCCATGTATATTCTGCAATATGTTTCTAATAAATTGTTCTTCTTTTCTTTTGTTTCAGATGGTCGCAATGACGCGGCCGAATAGGCTAAAACACATAGCGCTCCTCACTCTAGTCTTCTTAGTCATATTAGTCACAGTAAATAGTACACAAAGTAAGTATTATTCAGCACCATTCTGGAAAGGCATCTGCCATTAAATGACATTGGTCATTTTATTTCAATTTTCAAAAATTAAAGGATAATTCATAAATAGCTGTCACGCGGGAATTCACGGTAGAGGAACCGTGGATTTTGGTGATTTCAACGATAGGCACATTGATATTATCAAGTCCAATTTAATGATATTGTAAGCATGCCCTACACGGAAGAAACAACTTAGCGCTGAGCCCTAACACTTAAGGTAACACAGCGCCAACTAGAGGCAGTAGTGCTGAGCCCTACGGCTCTGAGGTCCAGCCCTGCAGCCTTAGGGTTTAGCCCTACTACTTAAAATTTTGATAAGATAAACGTAAAATTTTAAGATTTTTGTCAAAAATATTATGTCCGACTTCTTCCATTGACTCGATCCACTGTGCGCCGGTGTCATGCCCGAGTGATGAGCATCCTCCCTCGTGGTTAGGATTCAAGCCTAGCCACCACCCTTGCCGCAATCATTCGTTATGGTCATTCCCTAACCACAAAGATGTCCATTGAGATCAAAAATATGTGACGAGGGATCTGCACGTTAACCGGAAGGTAAAATTCAAGCAAAGAGTGGTAATGCTACTGCGCTAATCAATGAATCTACCGAAATCCACGATTTTGCTACCGTAAATTCCTGTGTGACATCAAGTCCGTTTGGCCCTAGAATTACCGTGGTTTTTTTTCTCTGTGAGGTATCAACAGAATCGGTCCTTGTAAGGCTCTCTAAATCTTTTGTGAATGCCATCCTTTAGAATAGATATTGCTTTTAATATCCGAAAGATCATACCCTAGATTTAATAATTTTAAAACAGGATGAGAATGTATTTTTAAATTAAAAAACGGAAGCAGGAGATACATCACGGAATTACAATGAGAAAAATGAAATGTTGAACGTTTTAATGTCTAGGCTGGTATGTCATGAGTTGTCATTCGACTAAAAACCATTGAGTTGATAACACAGTTCTTAAACATGCACATAAGTCATCCATTTTATCAGGAGAGTTTTCTGACTCGAAAATCGTAATCATCCAGTATTCTGGGCATTATTTGGATTGCATTTTGCAAAAAGGAACCACTAGCATTGCAATATGATGCTAAGATTGTGCAATTTCATCCTTTGCAATAAAATTGCGGAAATTGTGAAAAACTATGAAATTTAGATGGTAATTTTTGTCTTAAATGTACAGTTTTTAGCGAGTAAATTAGGAACTATCAAGGGAATATCGGGTTTTTCCTCCAAGACAAAAGAAGTTGCACAATCTTAGCAACATTGCAATGCTAGAGGTTACTTTTTGCAAAATCCAATCCATTTATTTTCACCGGCTTTTCTCCCTGGAAGGAGATCTGTACATTTCATGCAATTGCTGCTGAAGTTGGCAACTACGCCTATTCAATCAACGGCTATACTGGCATCCGTTTACGATCGGTCAAGCGAAATTGGAAAAGAAGATTACCAGTGGCGTGGCGTGATTTGCGATATATCGATTGATCTGCCGTTTAAACCCATAGAAAAGAGTCGATACATAAGGTGTTCGCAACGAACACCTTAATAATCGATTCTTCACCACAGCTTCAAATGGGGAAATTACGATATTCGATCCTTCACGCCTCGCCACTGGAGATCACCCCTACTGCCCCACTTTCATAATCACAAGGCTCAAAAGCGGCTTTTACAGACCAATTTTCAGACCAGACAAAAATGATTCAAGGGAACCGAGGGCTATGAAGAGTTTTATGAGCATCCGCAAGTGGGATTCGGAGGGAGCCCAACAGAGGCTTGAAACTAATAATTTCTTTGCATCTTCTTTCTATGATTACTTTCATTCTTTTTCACCGTCAGAGAGCCTTGTTCGAAAACTTCTAGGCCATTAAAATGTTTATTACCCATTCGCAGAGAAGCACAGCTCGATTGTTTTCTTTCATGTTAAACTGGATTAAAGTTTCCCATTCTTCCTGTGCTGAAAAGTCTTACAGGCTTATTTATTACGAATCCTCAAAAAACCCATAATGCTATCAGAATAACTGAACTCGTGCTAAGGCAGAATAACGTGCGAGCTTTTAGACGATGCAAAATGTTCTTTGATACAGGCCATACATTTTTTAGAAAAGGCTCGCAATTTGATTGGAAGTATCTGAAAATATATTAATAAACAATTAAAAATTTTGTGAAGAAGGGCGTTTTCCCAGCTAAGATTTTGCTAAAAGTCCCTTTCCTGTTGCATAAAATGTTGGCTTCAATTACGAGAAATTATGGAGGAGGCATGAAAAAGAATCGGATTGAACGTATCATTTTCGTGTATGTTTATAGCTATTGAGAATAAAATTGGCAAATTCTAGAAAATTTGGCAAACTTTCTGTATCAGTGCTTGCTTGAAGTGGTTAAACGCGTCACTATTCGTGCAGAAAATTAAGCTGTCCGGGATTTAATTTCATGTTTCAGCCGCGCTACACTTTCACTCCAAAACGAACGTTTTGTCTAGCTTTCTTTCCACGAGATTTATTTCTACCTATTTTTACGAGCTGTCATGTCGTGGGTGTCAAGAAGCCGAAAAAAAGTTGACACTTTCGCCCTCTCATTTCATAGGATCTGAATGACTGTTTTTTTTTTTGTTTTTTTTTGTTTTTTTTTTTTTTATTTTTTTTTTATGGAGTTTGCCGTAAGGTTTTTGGCTTGTACGTCAAATGAGATGATGGAAAGAGCCAATGAAAGAGGTCATTGAAAACTGAATACTAGCAGTAATGAGGATCGTATGCGCCTTTTGAAAGTATGTTGATAAATTTGTTCTGACCATATTCGTCCACTGGCTCAAAACTTAGAGCTTATTACTTTCTTTGAAAATGCTCGCTTCCTTCACCTTCAAAAAACTGCACCCGATACTTTTGACGTTTGGTAAAAAAGTCAAGCCCCGTAAATTATTATCATCTTAGACTAAAAGAAACTTTGGGATACGGGGAATGGTTCATGCAGTTTCATTCGTTTGTCACGTATTTAAATTCTACATGACAATGGTTAATTTAAAAAAAAAAAAAAAAAAAAACACATTAACGGAAGCTGTAGAAGTTCCTGCTCGTTTCTGATTGGTTCCGGATGACATCATTCGGTTTGGCGCCAAACCGGGGTGTTTAAAATTTGCGGGAAAGTTGCGCTCTTCTTTAATTATGTATTTCTTGGTTCCTGAGTTATTTTGTTGCGTTTTCTGTGTGCATCATGTTCTACGTGTCATTTACTTTCAGAAAGGTGTATTTGCAAATCACAATCCGTTTTTGTTTAAGTGACGCATTTAGGGGCATGCTCTAAGTCGTACACTAAAAAAATATTGAGAGAATTTACCATTCCTTCAAAGCTGTACTTCGCACTGCTTGGAGAGCAGGGAGTGGTAAATTCTACCAATATTCAAGTCGATTCTGCCAGCGGAATGGTTACCTGGACCGATATATAGTAACGTTTACCTTTCTTCTGGCAGAATTGACTCTAAATTGACGCGGAGTAAAACACAGCGTGAAGGAATGGTAAATTCTACCAATCTTTTTTTCAGTGTACACTGGAAAAGAAAACACATTGGATCTAGAGTCCAGACTCTTAAAAACATCGACAAGAAAAAGTACTCTTGATTCAATCAGAATCTAGCCTCAAGAAATCAAGAACCAAGCCTCTTAATCTAAGCGGATTTCGTTTTGATTCAAGCAAAAATCCGATTGAATCAAGAGTATTTTTTCTTGTCAATGTTTTCAAGAGTCTGGACTCTAGATCCAAAGTGATTTTTTCCAGTGTAGTTTTACCCCCCTCCCCCTATCATTGGTTCATTTTAACGATATAACATACGTGATTTGCGTGTTTCAGGTGTTCGAAGGCGGCTGAGGCGGCCGATAAGTAATAGGGTTAATGATTCACTTTCACATAACAATGACCAAGATACGTCGGCCAGCATCAACCGATTCCGAGTGAGGAACAAGGAGAAGGAAGCCGTCGCCGCCGCCTCATCTAGCTCATCCGCTTCATCTGCGGCCACGAAAAAAAATGCTGACTCCGGATACAAGGTTTGTACGGAACGGAATTAACTCATATAGAATCAGTGAAGAAAACGGTACACAGTAAGAAAAAATACGTCCAACTAGGATTTAATTCGGATCTTGTGGATTTAACTCAAGGCGCAATATCTCGGTTAATATTCAACGTAGAAAGTTGCTGTTTAGACAGATCTTATTAGTTTAAACTAATCTACAGGTATCAAGCCCCGAAACACAAAGCTATGACCAGCGCAACTGACCCATTGAAAAGTTCACTTGCGATAGTGGAAAAGTAATATGTCAAAATCACTCATCACTTTTTCTATAATCGGCCCTAAAAAGTGTAGCCAAAGATAGTTTTCGAGTTCCTTCGGCGGGAATTCGTTCGAGAACCTGATTCAAACGTTTCTCCGATCAACACTAAAAATCGGAATGGAAAGTCAATTCATTAGACGCCTCGAGCAATTGCTTGATGGGCAGAGATGTCTTCCACGACTCCTCACTCTATTTAGTTGATTGCGTCAAAATATGAATTTAATTGATTTTATGCCTTGAGTGATGGAAACTAGATACTTCTGATATTGTTATGCACCTTGACTGTCGATCATAAAACAGGAATGGATTCAAGACGAAGGTGTGCTATCTAAGATACGAACCAAGCTGACCAAGCCCAGTTTCAAGTATTCAATGCTGTAATTAAGGGACATTTTCCTTTGACCGAAAATTGGTGCTCGGTCTTTTTTCCTAAAAAAAAAATTCCTACCACACGTTTTCCTAATACTTATTTTTCACTAGTTTTTTGTCCCATCACAGTCTAAGTGAAGTTCAAGAAAAATGACTTGCCACCCAAAAAATTTCTGATGGATTGAGAATGGACCACTAGACAAGGTGCGAATTTCAGCATTCTGATACATGTTTCTTAACCAAAATTTCACGTAAAACACGATGTGCACAGCAAAAATGACCGATATTATCTCCTTACGAATATATCAATGATTCTTGATGCGTGAATTCAAACCACCTGCTCATGAAAACTCAATGCTCTACATGATTCACATCGCGCGTTAAATGTTATCGTGACAGTCAGTGCTATATAAAAATCTAACAACCTCAATCTTGACCCTTTGGCTCAGCTATAAAAAATTGCTAATAGTTTGAACAACACATGGTGGGAAATGAACATTGGTTGATTGAGAAGCTAACTGAGACCTTTGTAGTGCGCGATTTGACTCAAGTAGAGCTTTGAGTTTCTTGTGAGCGGGCAGTTCAAAATATTACTCGTAACCAATGTGAAATAAAAACGTTGATATCTTAGTTAGGAGTTGATTTCAGTAATTTTCAATTCAAAAATCGTGTTCTACATTAAATTCTGGTTAAGAAACATGTATCAGAATACTTAAATTAGTACCTTGTCTAGTGGTCTATTTCTCGTTCTCTGGATTTTTTCCTACCCGGAGTTGGGCACTTTCCAAACCGAAAAATTGATTTCTCGATAAAGAAACAGCAGTATTCGAAAGAGTGCAAATGATTTCGTCGAGTGTTTTACGCAGCATTGGAAATTGCTTTTCAAGCGCTGCCGAGAAATCTTGCGTCAAAGCATATTCATTGCAATGGCAGCGCGCAGCGTGACGCTCCGGCAGGCCTAAAGGGCACACGCCGCGCCAATGGACTTTTCAAGTTCTTTCATTCTGCGACCACGCCCGACTGGACCGGCGGCTTTCCGCCCTTTTGTCAAATGTTGCCAGATTATAAGCCAAAATACTCCCATGATAACTCACCATCGAGGAATTTCTGAGTACCTTACGTCTTCACATCCCAAGGTCACGATCTGACATCCTCAACCTTAAAATGTTGAAAAGTGAAATGTGTCCCTTACAGACGCATTTAGTGGTGACGTCACGGAACGATATTGTTGGTTCGATGTCTCGGAAGTCAAAATGTGCCCCAACAAACAAACATAACCTCCAAAACGAACAATTGATGAAAGAAAGCTAAAACTAGCCTATAACTAAAACATTCATCCGCGGAAGAATAAAAATATGAAAGCTAGTCATTTTCCAAATCGTTTGAGACCTTATCCACAAAAATTGATAATTTAATGAGCTCGTGACATAATACTTATTCTTCGGACGAACGTTGTGTCTGTTTGTTGGGGCACATTTCGACTTTCGAGGTATTGAAATTAGATCGAGATGTGACGTCACACTAAATGCGTCTATCGTTGCTGATTTGGATGAGGATATTAAGTGCAGAACCACGTGCCTCCGTCGCAGAGTTTCAAAATCTCTGCTCCTATTTGATTCAACTACAATGTCGTGCTAAGTAAGAACGCCGTATAAACCTTCATACGTTGCCAAGTTTCCTCCGATAAAAACCGAATTCACCGGGAAAATTCTGAAAATTATTCTCAGAAATTTTCAGATAATTTTGTATGCAATTTACTCTAAGACATCCGAAAATTTGGAGGAAAAATATGCTTAAATTGCGTCAAAAATACATGTTTTATCGAGGGAAATTTGGCAACTCCCGAATGTTCATACGGCGTTCTTCCTTAGCACGGCAGTATACAGCTTGAAATTCATATGGAATATTCTGCTGATGGGAAAGAAAAATCAAGGAAGTTTTCGAGCGATTAAGTTGGCTCGTTTACCAAAGAAAAAATGAAATACGACAGGAAGTCAGAGATATCGCTAGCAGAGATGCATGGTTTCGCACTTTGGCCAGCGATATTATAAGCAGTGGCGTGAATTGCGATGTATCGATTGTTATGCCATTTAAACCTATGTCGAAGAATCGATTATTAAGGTGTTCGCTGCGAACACCCTGTTTATCGATCCTTTTCCATGGGTTTAAATGGCATAACAATCGATATATCGCAATGCACGCCACGCCACTGATTATAAACCCACGCGCTCACCATCACGTTATTCTGTGTCTATACATTATATGTTGCCACTTAATAAAATGCGCTTTGGTAAAATTCACGCTTCCTTACAATTCCTGTTTCCTAGTTATCAGATTATTAACCTTTGCGCCGCATTATTTGAAATCAATCTTATAAATATCAGCACTAATATACATGGATACAGCTGTGCAATCGTTGCATTATAGTTTGATCGGCTAATCATTTCCACAAACGGGGTAAAATATCCTCAAGTCCAACATATTTGTCGAATAAAGACCGATAATTTTCGAGTCTAAATGTGCAATAAGAACAAACATTTTTATGTCTGTAATATAACGAATTCAGTGGCGTGGCGTGCTTTGCGATATATCGATTGTTATGCCATTTAAACCTATGGAAAAGGATCGATTAACAGGATGTTCGCAGCGAACACCTTAATAATCGATTCTTTGCCATAGGTTTAAATGGCATAACAATCGATGTATCGCAATTCACGCCACGCCACTGAACGAATTAATATAACGAATATTGATCGATTTAATCTATGGATAGATATTAAATTTACCCATCTCATATAGTCTCTTTGACACTTTAAAATACGAAACGTAATTTTAATCGCAAAGTTTAAAGCAGCGGACGTTTTTGATAACTACATCAGACACACCGCATTAATTGTTGTATCTGAAGAATGGAAATCATTATAATGCTGGAGCTTTTAGAGCGATGACGTGAAGATAAAAAAGAAGGTCATTTAATTTTACTGTAATTCTCATTCATGACCTGTATTTACTCAATTCGAAGAAGCCTTGAGACAGTTACGTCGGACATGCTTTTATTGTCAGGTATGTCAAAAAATCCTGGCATTATTTTCTCTCTCTTTCCCGTGAAATTTGAGCAACGTTCTTGCTGCTTCAATGAAATACGATAGTTAAAATTAAAATTTTAAAAACTGAAGAGAAATGGCTTAGCTCGAAAAAAATAGAATTTACGTAAACTCGTGTACTGTCAACTTATCAGATAAATGGCTCAGTTCTAAATATAATTTTAGGCAAATTTTACTAAAATATTCATCTCCTATATTTAGACATAAATTTTCTAAAGAAAAATCTTAAATTTCCCGGTGAAGTCGAAATCAAACTATAAAATGTGAATACATAAGTTACTCTCTGTGAAGTAAAATATTGCTTACTTTTCTTAAGCTGCGTTCAAGTCTCTCAATTCCTCGTAAGTTCGTGCAAAAATAGGATTCTGTTTGTTGACAGAGGAGTTATTCTTTTCACACATGAAATAGTGGTCTATTTGCAAGCAATGGGCACCTCATATTTTCGAAATACAAGTTTTTAACTTTTTATTACATTTTAAATATTTAGGCTCCCCTCTAATCTCTCCTACTTATGATCCTAATTTTGCGAGTTCGAAATTGTGTGAGACATGCAGATACAAATCAGGTCAAAACTACTGTCACTTAAACACACGGTCACTTCCTCAACCCTTAAATACCAATGCATATTGATTCACGTCTTACAGTCCAGTTTTGCTCACTGGCACTCTCAGTAGTTGTGAGTGTTAAAGCATCGCGTTCGGCACAATGTACACTTGTACACTTTATAGCCCACATTTGCGAAAGCGCAGCGTAGATCACCCACTATCGATTTTATTCCATTTGAAGCCATGGTAAAGAGTCGATTTTCAGGGTATTTGTTGCGAACACCATGATAATCGATCCTTTTTCATGGGTTTAAATAGCTCATTAGTCGATCCATCGCTAAGCGCGCCACGCTACTTCATTTGAATTATCTAACACTGCCGGCGGGCGCGCAAGACTCAACATATAAGCAAATCAAACCGCAAGCTTCAAATGATCATTTATGATCTTTGTCATGTTGCCGTATTTACCTTCACTCGCACTAATGCATAGTGCTCTATAGGTTTCTACAATTATTAAATGACGAGTATCAGTTGCCATGACGCATTACTTAGGCTCATCTATTAACGTCTCATTAATTACAATGCTAGTTTTTTGTTTATCAATTTGGGGGGGAAAATCGAATCTCTATCGAACGAATGACAATTAAATCGAGATTTTCTGAATGATCCGCCAATGGACCTAGATGATAGGAGAGTATAATTTTTGCTACGAAATTGCAAAAATAATCATAGATACTGTTAGTTAACAGCAAGAAAAAAATTGATTGAAAAAAAACGAACTCAATGACGATGGAAAAAATGCTGAAAAATCAGAAAAATTAAGGAATTCTACACAAATAATCACATTAGGTGGTGGCCTAAAAACTTTTGTATCTTAAAAACCATACTATTTATACTGACAAACAAGTTGCTTGAGTGTACAAGCAATTTTTAATGCTAAGAAATGACATTGGTCAAAGAAGATATACGGTTTTTTTGGTCTACACTTTATTATCTATACCCAAAGAATTTATGAAATGAGAGTTTAAAAAATAAATATGAAATAATAATCATAATTCAGAAGAAACGCAATACGAATAAGGTTGTTTGAATGCGGGAGTATGCTGTATTCTAAAATTGTGAATATTCGAGTTTAAACTTTGACGATTTGATCCCTCGCTACCTCGTTGATCGAATTTACGAAACTTGAATTTCAAAATCCTTGCATTTTGACATTAATATCAATTAATTCCATCAACAAAGTTGCAACAAAATAAGTGAAATCGCATTGCGATCCTGTCTAACAGAATTGCCAAAAATACTATGAATGCCATTCATTTTAAACGTCAAGCTTTATCTAAAGTCTTGATTTATGATAACCCAAGGAGAACCTCGCTGTATCTTATTCAAGAACTCAAGCGGAAAATATCCTGAGAGAATTTTGCATTTATTCTCGATACGCAGACAAATTAATACCGAGTTTGCGTAAGCAGAGGGAGGAGAGAGAGAATTTGACCTTGTTTCAATTTGAGAAAACCAGAGTGGCATGAAGTGTAAGAAAGAAATGAAAGATCAGAAATTTTAGTGAAATATTTCATATTTTTCAGGAGACAGAGTATGCAACCCGCACTCTAACACGCACTAGAATAGAAGAAAGTCACAATATTTACATTTTGCGAAACATGAAAAGGAACCGGTATTTTTCAACATCTTTCGTGAATTCCTAAAATTTCATGAAATATTTCACGTGCGAAATATCAAGGTTTTATTTTTCATGAAATTCAGCCACCCTGGAGATAACGCTCTTCAGTCTCAATAAATGTGTTATTTCTCTGAACAGTCTGACGCCAAGGCGGCTGGAAAAAGCTCAAAGGACATATGATTTTGTGGACGTAACGAACTCGTTTAATTACCGCGGTGGTGATGCGTTTTTTTCCAGGTTGTCTGTTACTACACCAACTGGTCGCAGTACCGGCCCAAAATTGGCAAATTCTTACCCGAGGACATCGAACCCGACCTGTGTACACACGTCATTTTCGCTTTCGGTTGGCTCAAGAAAGGAAAGTTATCTTCCTTCGAATCCAACGACGAGACTCGAGACGGCAAAATCGGTCTCTATGATAGGATCAAAAACCTGAAAAAAGCCAACCCCAAGTTGAAAACACTCCTTGCCATTGGTAAGTTAAAGTGTGTTCATTACTGATTCACGTTTTGGTTCATGCATCTCTCATTGGTGAAAGAAAATAAAATCTTCCTCATTAGATTGGTTAATAGAACAAATTTTGACCAATCAGGAGCCAACATTACGTTTTATGACTTTTTTATGAGGATGATTGAAGATTTTATGCTGTTATTATTGATTTTGACGAGTCCTTTTTTTCGTGAATTTTAGATTTTTAGATTTTTTATATTTATATATAGTTTATCGTGCTCGATACTGGATGGTCTGACAAGCAGGACTATGCCCTAGTCGTTCGTAGAAGAAGAATACTTTTTTGGCGATTCTACAATTTCTTAAAAACACCAGTGATTTAAGTTAATATTATTTTCCGCTATAGAAGTCTTCAGCTAAGGAAGGTTGCTCTAGATTTTTTACAGAATTTTAAATAAGGTATTTCAACAAAGTGAATATAGGTTCAACCTTTTTTTCCTGGTCACCGCCACCAATAAATGCGTTGGTCAGCCGTAATGCCTTTCACGCATTGTTGGAATTGAAAAGAGGAAACAGTACGACTGAATCAGTCATTTTCTTCTCACGGAGACAAAAAAAAATCATAATTTTTAAAAGTTCAATTTTCATGACAGTTTTCAGCAAATATTCAAGAAATTGGTTTTTCTATTTTTAGTTTTTGAAAATTTTTATAGCAGAAGTAGGATGAGTGATAGAGAATTAAATTAAAATCTGGCTGCAATATTTTTTAAAACTTTAGTTTTTCTACTCTACTTATCCCCGTTCAAAAACTTCCGAGGAGATTAATTTAAAAAAATAAATAATAAAATGCAACATTTTATATTGATGGATCCGTAAATGTTTCATACGCGGGAAATTTCAATAATTTTCTTTCTCATGGACTTTCTTAAACTCAAAATCTTCTAACTTTTCATCAACAGGTGGATGGTCGTTTGGAACACAGAAATTCAAGGAAATGTCAAACACAAGGTACGCCAGGCAAACTTTCATCTACAGTGCCATTCCATTCCTGAGGGCAAAACACTTTGACGGTTTGGACATTGATTGGGAATACCCTAAAGGAACAGACGACAAAAAGAACTACGTTCTTCTCTTGAAAGGTAATCAAACGTTGAAAGTTAATCAAACGTTGAAAGTAGTAATTAATCAACAATAAATGCGGATTTGGGCGTTCAAACTTATTTAGAAATTCTGACACATGAAAAATAGAGTAACTATAATGTAATTAATTTTTTTTTATTTTTTTTTTTATTTTCGACGAATAAGGGATGACTGAATAGTAAACAAGGGCTCATCATAGTGGGGAGAAAATTAAGAAATCAATACATTTTTAACATGACATCAACGTAAAGCGGTTGTAACGTTATAAATCAAAATGAGTGTATCCAATTTTGATATTTACGAGGTTCTATAAATCCTTGCCGTATTTGTATGATAAAATAAGCATCAGCTGGGCATTGCTTTTAGAGGCTCATTAAAAATAAAAACTCGGCGATTTTGGTTTTAACGAATTCTGCCTTGCATCGAGCAATGCCAAGAACAGGTGCACAGCAGTGATTAAATCTTACTTTCTTCAACGACTGAGCCGGAATTCCATCAGTTTCATCATAAACAATTAATTTTTTTGATTGTGTTAATTTAAATGAGGAAAAGCTCTTGTCGTTGCACGGTTTATGCAGAAGGATACATTAAGCTCGTTTAATTATTTTTGGCATCGGGTGTTTTAATTCAGAAGTTTTTATTTTATGGTGTTGAATGGTAGTAATTGGGTGAAGGTACCCAATTCATTTCTTCCGATGATCATATGTGAAATTATTTATCTTAACTGAGGGTAATTTCATCTATTTTGATGTACTTATTCAGGAGGCAGTCATCATGATTACCAGTAAAAGAAATCACGTTACCGGCAGTGGTGCATGATGAATAAACCAATTAATGGCAAATGCTGGCGGTAATGCAGATGCTAATTAACTAGCAAGCGCGCGCATAATGAACGACATTTCCGATCAACGCTAACAGCCTCATCCAGCCTCTCTCCTGCAACTCTTGCCCTCCCCCCTGCCCTAACCCCCATCGCGCCCGCCTTTCCATCAGAGCTTCGTTCTTTTCCGGAATCACTAGCCATTTAAAGTTGTCAATTTTGATGAAAATTACGTTTGAGACTTTTATCAAGTATGCAACCATTTAAGGGGTGCCATTACCACGCATTCCAGCATTTTAGTACTCTACACATATTTTAAATGTTGGGCAAAATTTGCATGTAAAAAGTTCTGAACAGCCTGCCAAAGAAGTCATGTTTAGGCACTGGCATTTTCTTACCTCAGTGGATAATTAGGATCTAGAATCGTTTTAATTTATTTTGATCAAAACAGACCATTCATATTTGAATGTTATTTCAGGGAACTCGAATTATTTTTGTGTAATTGTAACTTATAAAGAACTCTATGAGTGGTAAACTATAGTCATGTAATTTAAATGTATTTCTTTCAAATACTTTCAGTCACATTATCAAAAATTCAGAGAATGTGCGAAAATGTCAGATTCTCTTTATGTTAGGCCCTATGTTGAAAATGTGTGTTTTTCTTTAAAATTTCTGACAGATATTAACAATTGAAATCTTAATTTATGCAGAGTTGAGGGAAGCGTTTGAAGCAGAAGCACAAGAAGTGAAGAAACCTAGACTCCTGCTTACCGCTGCTGTTCCGGTGGGTCCTGATAATATCAAGGCTGGATATGATGTTCCTGCTGTCGCTGGGTATGTGTAATTAAAATCCATAAATCCCTTATGGGCGCCTTGAGTCGGGGTTGTAATAACACCGCAGGTGCAGTTGATTTTGCTTTCTTTTTATTTGTCAATCTGAATTTTTTGCATCCAAAACTGCCATGACTCTCCAATCTATCAACAATTGGACTGAATTTTGCTTTTTGGAACTATACATTCTGGCTCTTCTGGAAAAGCACTCATGTACACAGGTAAACTAATGGCACATACGTTGTTTTTAAAACCCGGGCTAGAATTTACAGTTTCAAATTGCAAAATGTAGTCCAATTGGCGGAGCTTCATCGGATTGTGATCGATTATATCGATGGAAAAAATGCGAAACCATTATCTCCATTACAGTGTTTCGAAATTTCGCGTTTACTGTATTATTTCGAAGAAAAACATGTCAACTTCATGGCTTGAAATGTATACAGAACTTTCTACTCAAAGAGAAAAAAAAAATCAAGGCAGTTTTCAACAAATTATGATGACTAGTTTTCCAGAGAAAAAATAAAGTATGACAGGAAGTCTGCAACGTTGTAAAACGAAATATCTGGTTCCGCATACTTTCGCCGTTTATTTCGAGTCTAGAGCAATTTTTTTTCAGAATGAAAGGAGTTGAGCATGTAGGACAAATTACACACCGTTCCTTACTTTTTTGTTCACATTTATTTTACTAATACTAAGAACTTTGATAACTTGGCGAGCAATATCCACTATCCATTCATTTGCTGAGCGAAAATAAAACGCGGCCAATATGCAGATATTCTGGTGAGGTCAGGAGATAACCCGCTCCAGTCACCCAACCCAGATCCTGATTTTTTCCTCTGAATATTTTCAATTTTTTCCCGGGTCAGAGCTCAAAGGACAATCTTTGCCGCCGAACAGTGGATTCGAAATCCACTCATTTAGAGTGGTCGTAAGGAGGTATGCGATTATTTTGCAATCCCTGCTCTGAAACGCCTTTCCATCCACCGCCCTGTTAGTTGCGGAGGAATGGAAAGTCAGGGCCTAGATCTAACCTAAAATTCGATCAATTTATACCCAGAGTGGTGGAAAATTCAGTAATTTTCCCTCGACTTGGCAACAAGTCGGGAGTAAGTCGGTATCCCTGGGCTCCCGGTTGGACCGGACTTGAATGGGGATCAAAGGGCACGGGGTCCAGCACGGTCGCCGGTTGGTTCTAACGCCTTGTTAGCATTGTTGCCAGGTAGTGCTGAAAAATAGCAGCGTTTTGCTCTTTATATTAATAAAGTACCCACATTTCATCGATCAACCTGGCAACCTTGTTTGTAGGATACGCTTCAACCGCGAGTCACTCACGAGCTGACTCTTTTGACATAGATTGGATTTCCGTCCCGATTCTGTTGCCATGCTTACCTCAACTTGTTTCTCATATCATGAAGAAAAACGATACGGAGTACGAAAGTTTTTCGTTCTTAAGGTTTTTTTCCTTTAAATTTACGAACATTTTGAACATTTTTTGACATCTTGGAAGGGTAGGAAACTTTGGCAGCTGGGTGTCACAGAGCGCCAGAGATCCCTATAAAAGCGGTTTTTATATATAAGGAACTTTTTTCAAGTCTCTACACCGAAGGAGAATAATGAACCAATATCATAGCGTTATATCGTCTTTCCAAGACAAAGAAACGCAATTTGGTCCGAAGGTATCAAAATTACTTCAAACAATTCAATTGTTTACTAAAATATGACTGCGAAGTTCCTGTCCAAGATTTTGCCAATTTCTGGGAATAATCAGGAACAAAATCAGCCAAATTTTGAGGGGTGACCACGGTTTTTTAATAAAAGTCCGATTTGCGAGGGATAATTTTGCGGCGTTGAGATGGAGCTCCGTTTTTTCATCTGGAAAATTACGATATGATACCATTCTCAAACTTGTACACAGACCACCTTTTTTAAAAAAAAACTCTTGATGTAGATCAGAAGTCTGATTGTTGAAATTTATGTCGACTAATCGGAAATTGATATATTACACGCGCAGATAGAGCTATGTCTTATCTTGTCTTGCCGACATAGCCAGTTAAGGTTTCAGGACATTCCGTCAACGACTTTTTGTCCACGCACCTGTTTTGTCCAGTGGTTTACATCCATGCGTAAAATAAGCAACAGTGACTTAGTAAGCACAAAATATGAAAGAAAAAATTAGAGGGCTTTGAAAATCTTTAAATTTGACTCGGAATCACCTTAATACTTACAGAATACAAAATATATTTTTCTTTAATACATATCTTTTTCCATCGATTTAAATGAGAATAGTCCATACAGAGTGTGCAAGCATTTCAAAATCATGAGTTGAAAAACGCTGACTCAGCGAGTTTTAATATTAGAGCCAAACAGAGCGGAGCGGCGTGCAGCCAGCGCGAGAGGCTCACTGGCTCCTACAAACCTAACAGGCTACTTCACGCATTGCGCAATGTTGGAAGTATCTACTTAGGTTTGTAGGCGCCAATTCTCGTTTCGCGCTGGCCGCCCGCTCGCCGTGCAGCGGCATGACACCTCAAGCAACTGTTTCACAACAGTGGTGTTGCATAGTATCATTCGAAATTGAAGGCGCCCCAACACATTAAGCATGACGGCGATCTTCTTTTAAGAATACGCAGCGTTCTCCGCAAAATAAATCAAGATGCTACGGCACAAAAAGAGCGCGTTAGTCCTAAAACTCATCAAGTCCAAGCATCCGTATTTAATATAAAGTTTAGCATAACTCTCCATTAGAGAAAAAAGCGACTCGATTTAGGCAGAAAAATTCCTGAGTATGCCGTCAAGAATATTTTATTTTGAGTTTCAATAATAATTGGTACGTGGACCAAAACTCCCCTGCCAAAACAACGCGAGGACGTAAACTACTGGAAAAAACAGGTGCGCTGACAAAAAATCCTTGACAAAATGTCCTTAAACCCCAGTTAAAGTTTCAACGATGTGTGGCTGCTATGAACATTTTGAGGCTGTGATTGAATCGTTTCTAAGTGGTACTTTGGTTACTGTGACCAGGTATTTGGACTTCATCAACCTGATGGCGTACGACTTCCACGGTAAGTGGGAGCGAGAGGCCGGGCACAACGCGCCCCTCTACGCGCCGTCATCGGACTCGGAGTGGCGGAAGCAACTCAGCGTCGACAACGCCGCCTCCCTGTGGGTTCGCCTCGGCGCCCCGAAAGAGAAGCTCGTCATAGGGATGCCCACCTACGGCCGCACCTTCACCCTCTCCAACCCCAGCGTCTTCAAGGTCAACTCCCCTGCCAGCGGCGGTGGCAAAGCTGGCGAATACACCAAAGAGTCTGGATTCCTCGCCTATTACGAGGTAATTTTGCCAAAGCTCATTCTTTTCCAGCGGGCTGATTGCTGAAATTGATAGACAAAGCGTTAGACAAAGAAGATACAAGGAGTAAAAACGATCCTATTGGTTGAAATGGGTGGTTCTTGTGACCAAGGGAGAAAATGATGGACTAACTGAAGGGTTTCTAGTGAGTTGCCGTTAGTTAGTCCAGTGCCTACCCCTTTTTCCCATCGCAACCACCCGCTTTCACCAGGAGGATCCTTCAATAACCTTTTTGTCATCTTTGTCTATAGCTTTGTCTACCAATTTCAACAATCAGCCCGGAGTGACTAGAGACCCTCCTCTGCAGCCCGACCACAGACTTTGACTTCCATCGATATTGATAGAACTCAGTTCCATTCCAATGGGGTATTCCATTGGAATCCCATGGAATTCCATTGGATTTTTAATGGAATACCCCATTGGAATGGAACCGACTTCTATCAATATTGATGGAAGTCAAAGTCTGTGGTCGGGCAGTAGGCCTCTGCGTGACAGGTTAAAACTTTCGCTTTCGGGATTTCAACACTTCCTATGAGACACATTTTCGCTATTGGTAAAAATGGTTGGTTCCTACATACCAAGGGAGAAAATGATGGACGAACTGAAGGGTCTCCAGTGGGTTGCCGTCAGTTACTCTATTATCAACCTTCTTTGTTCATTGGATCCACCCGCTTCCACCAATCGGACCCTTCCATATTCCTTTTGTCTTCTTTGTCTATAGCTTTGACTATCAATTTCATCAATCAGCCCACAGGTAGACAAGACGAACTGCTTAAACCGGAGGCCAAAGATTTTCTAGCGGGTTCCGTATGTGATCGATATCTTAAGCTAATTGTCTATCCTTAAACGCGGGTGATGATGTAAATTGGTTGGAAGAGAACATTTAATCAACACCGCTTGATATTGCCTAGTATCCTCCTCCAACAGTCAGTGCACCTCAGCGTGTAAAACCACCTGCAATTCTTTCTCCCTTAATCGGAAACGCAAACGCCTCAATCAGTATGCAAATGCGTCTATAATGTAAACAGCATAAATCCCTATTTGGGTCAGTAGCTTCCTCCATGCCGAGGGGCCGCGTTCACAAGACGGGGAAGAGGTGGTATCCTCAGGCAGTGTATCGAACCACCGACACGGCGTTGCCATTTTTAATTTAAATGTTTTAATTTCTCCTATTTCCAAGAACCACGTGAGTAGATTGTTAGGTAAATGCGAGCGCTCGGTTTTTCTTGAAAAAAAAAGCGGTTAAACGATAGCGCTTCTAGCGTTTAATTTGAGTGATGCACATGGCAGCCGCGCAGTTCACATAACGGATGTTAAAGCTCTGAGAGAGGAAAACGCAGAAAATACACGCCGTCTCGTGTGCGTTTGTTTCCCATCATTCAATGTTGCGTCAGAATTAGACGCATGCAGTCCGTGGTCGGTCGTCTGCGACTGCGTCGTTGCGAAACCTCGACACGAATAATAGTCGAATTTAGCGGCGTTTAAAAAGTGATGAAGGAGCGATCCTAAGTAGCGTTTTTCAACGGAAAAATTGCGATATTTTGAAATTAAGTTGCGATTTTTTACCGTTTTTTGGCGTTACAATTATCAACATCCGAGCGACCACACTGAGAGAAAAAGTTCGATCGTATGAACCGAATGTTCGGTGTTCAATATCGGCCGTATTGTTTGGTTCATGCGACCGCTTTCTCGGTTCTGGGAACCCTATCTTTGGTTCATGCAACCGAGATTTTTCGTTAGATCTGTTCGGTTTAAATGCTCGGTTGCATGAACCGAAGATACGGTTCCGAGAACCGAGAGAGTGGTTACATAAACCGAATAATACGGCCGATATTGAACACCGTGCATTCGGTTCATATGATCGAAGTTTTTTTTCTTAGTGCATCCTAAATCTTGTCAAAATTTTATCTCTGTAAAATCGTGTTCGGTAAAATCAAAATTTTATCTCAATTTATCACGATTTGTAGTTCGATAACATTGCAATAAATTGCAAATTTGTTGCAAATCTATGCGATGAAAATCACAATATCGCAATTTTAAATCCGATAATGAAACAAAAAATCGACGTCGATACAATTGCGATACATTCTCCGATCAAATCGCAACTTATTGTGATCACCGCTACTTGAGATAGTACACTGTTAGAAATTTTGGAGTGAAATTTTAACCCGGAGTTTATACGGCGCCCAAATATGCCACCGTCGGTTTGCTTTAAAAATCAATTTTACAGCATCAGCGCATTTTTGAAGCACGAAGTCATGCTTTTAAATTGATCTGACGCCCCTGTGCGGAATTAAAGGCCAAAGTGTGTAAAGCTACTTTCTCACAGCTTCAAATGAAATTTGTTCCAAAACGCTACTTTAGGTACCAACTCATTAATTTTTGTCAGAATAAAAACCTGTTCGCTTTTCTGGGCACTTTTTTTAGATCAAGACGAAGATACGTGATTTTTACAACATTTTTATCGAGTATTAAAATAAGTAGGTATTTTCAGCGCAACGTCCGATGTTGAACAAATTATTTCTCTGTTCAGATCTGTGAGATGTTGAAAAACGGTGCCACTTACATCTGGGACGACGAGATGAAAGTGCCATACTGTGTGGCCGGAGACCAATGGATCGGGTTCGACGACGAACGGTCCATCAGGAACAAGATGGACTGGATCAAAACCAACGGATACGCTGGCGCTATGGTCTGGACTGTAGACATGGATGATTTCACCGGCACTATCTGTGGAGGAGACGTCAAATATCCACTTATTGGAGCCATGAGGTACAAACAAAATGCCCGCATATATTTAACAATCTTGCGTGTTTGCCCTGGCGACGCAGATCAAAACAAAGTGAGAAATATAGAGTACATTTTTACACTCTAGAGACTTTTATTTTTTGACAAATTTGTACTTCTAATGTGTATTTCTAGAGCAATCTTTGTGTAAATCGTCTATGTATTAAAAATATATATTTACGCTCTCCTTTATGGGAAAAATCTATGATACGAGTGCACATCACCTCATGAATAATTTTTTCATATTCACATGCAATTTTTTAGGAATTAGGTATTTGATAATATTTTGGAAACCATGTGATTATGTCAATTTGCTATTCATACTTGCAGTTGTCTTAGCAATGAAATCAGAGTTTTAATTTTACTATCAATGCACAAAGTTGCAAGAAATAATTTCTTTTAAAAGTCAATTAGGGCCAAACCTCCTTTAATAGTTTAATCAAAAACACCCTCTACTTCATTCATAATTTGACTGTATTTTGCAATTTGGAACCATGAATTCTAGCCCAGTTTAAAAACAACGTATGTGCCATTAGTTTCCCTATGCACATAAGTGTTTTTTCAGATGAGCCAGAATATGTATAGCTCCAAATTGAAAAGTACAGTCCAGTTTGCATGTACAGTAAAAATTATCAGGACGTCCAATGACCCACACTCAATATAAAAGTTTTCAAAACAGCAATTCTTTTTGACCGTCTTCGATGAACTGTGAATTAAATATAAAAAACTTTTAATGATCAAAGGATAATTAGTCACATAGTCGCATTTAAATCTGTATTTTGAACCTTCTAAGTTTCCAGTGATGAGATGCATTTTGATCATGTGAACATTCTTTAACCTTTTCAATTCTGATTTGAATACCAGGGAAGAATTACGAGGTGTAAAACGAGCGAATAATGCCCAAGACGTTGACTGGAGCAAAGTTGCCCCTACAATCAACTTGGAAGCAACCACCAAACCAGCGCCAATCAAAATTCCCGTCAGCGAAGTTATCGCTAAAGCCAGGATTCCTACAAAAACCCAGTCGACCGCTAACGCCATCCAAACAGATGTTGTTGATAGGAATGGTAAGCTAAATTTCTTTTTCTTTTCTCAGTCTATTTTAGTTCTGAAATCTGCGAGGTCTCCGCCAGTTTCATACCATGAGAAGATTCGTGGAAACCTCGACAAATTTACAGTGTTTTTAACCGTTATATCCTTCGTTATATTTTCACGTGAAATTCATTTTAGATGAGCAGTATTTAGAAATTCCTGTTTTTGAAGTTTCACCCCAGACACGTTACCTAATTTTTTTTAAAAAAAAAGTCACCATGGATGACAGTTTATCTCGCTGATGTCAGGGCTTGGTCGAAGAATTACAGATGGAGCAAGGCTCCTCTCATGGTGCTAAAACGAGGCTTCTTATGGCTCCGCGCTAAGGAAGAACGCCGTATGAACATTTGAGAGTTGCCAAATTTCTTTTGATAATACATTCATTTTTTAGGAAAGTAGTGAATATTCTTCTTTGAAATTTTCAGGATCTCTAGAACGAAATTATCAGAAAAATTAGAAGGAAAATATTCATAAGTTCAACGGGAAATTCGTGTTTTATCAAAGGAAATTTGGCAACGCCTGTAGGTTCTTACGGCGTTTTTCCTTAGCACGGGAGCGTGGCTCCGGTATGGTATTATGCAATGTCAAGTCAACCCGAAGTCAACGATTTTGTTTTAGCACCTATCATTATGCTCATCAGTTATGCTGCTGGTGACATTAAGCGAGTTCCGAGCGGGGTTCGGGGGGAAGGCAATTCGTATGCGGCGACGCCTTTGTTTAGGGAAGGAAGCGTTGCCAGTTCTACAAAATGAACTTTTGAACTTTAAATACTCGGTTTAGTCCATGGAAAACTGCGCCATTTTGCACATCGTGGCAACTATCTCAGTACCCATAAACGCATCTCTACAGGGGTGTCATATCTGGTTTATGATCGTCGGATGAGGCACTTTTAAGCATATCGTTTCAGATATTGTTCCGAACTTCTACATTAGTAATGGAAGAAGAATGGCGTCATTAAAAACAAAGTAATGGCGACTGTCTCTTTGGCAACATGGTCTAGCTCTTGTGAAAGTGGCATTCATTTACCTGAGACTATGTGGATGTCATATGTGAGCGCCACTTTTCTCTGCAAGGTGGGATGAAACTGAAGTATTATGTTCCAGATCACTTAATAACATGTCTTAGTTGTACGTATATTTACACCGAAATGTCGAGAGTCTAAATTCTCTGTAAAGACGTTAATAGCCTGTGATGCTGAATGTCTCAAAATATACTAACGAACTAACTAACTTTCCGATTGGTGTAAAGGACATTTCTTAATTCTGCAGAGGTGGACCGAGGAAACATTTAAATATTTGAATTAGATCATTGCACTTGATCAAGGTGAGGTATGTTGGGTTGGGTGTCCCCTCAGTTCTGTAATTTCATTTATGATTTCATTAGGTATAAATTTCATTATTAATTTTATCAATTTTATTCGAAATCTTATCGGTCGTGATTACCTAGTGTTCTTCATTCTTGAACTGTGCCTGCATTTGGGGTAAAAGTTGATTCTGTTCCTGGGCGGTTAAAGCAATTAAATTTTACAGTTAATCGTTTAGGGGTTTATTTTGGACAACGTTCAGAAATTTGCGGAATTAACCATGGATTTATGCCTATCATAGTTAAAGTGGTTTTAAATTAGGAGTTTTCAGTTTGGTTGGAAAATTCAAGATCATTAAAAAGCTTGAAGTAAGCGTTAAGGAAGTGTTGTATGTTGGGTGCTACTACAGTTGATGAACTCAAGTGAACCCTGTTTATTCCGCTTGGATCTTGAATGCTCGAGAGGCTATAAGAAATTGTGTAGAAATTCGTGTGCTTTGTAAATCCTTAAGTTTGTACGGAATCACCTTAATATTTACAAAACGCACATTGTATTTTCCTTTACTACGTATTTTTTTTCCGCAATTAAAACGAGAATAATCCATACAGGATGTGCAAACATTTCAAAATCATGAGTTAAATAACGCTGACTCCGCCAGATTAAATATTAGAGCCTAACACAAAGCGGAGCGGCGACGCACTGGCGCCTACAAACCCAACAGGGATACTTCACGCATTGCGCAACGCGTGAAGTATCCCTGTTAGGTTTGTAGGCGCCATGCAATGCGCGTTTCGCGCTGGCTGCCCGCCTGCCGCGCCGCGCCGCAGCGTGCCACGGCGCTTGAAGCAACTATTTCACACCAGAGGTATTGCACAGTATCATACGAAACTGAAGGCGCTCTAATATATTAGTAATGGCAGGCATCCATCAAAAGTACGGAGCTTTCCTCGTAAAATAAATCAAGATACTACGGCCCAAAAAGAGAGCGGTAGTCCAAAAACTCACTAAGTCCTAGCATCCGTAATTAATTACGTTTAACATACACTTTATCGCCTGGCTGTTGCTTAATCGCCATCGGCTATAAAAGGCTATAATAAATTGTGTAGCCGGCTATAGAAGCTAATGGAAATCTTACAGCTGGCTGTAGGTCTATGGTATTTTGGAACACAGATTCTACTGCCAATTTTTACCAGGGTTGGTATGGAAAGACATTTTTTTATAAATTCAGATTTGAATGTGAATTCACATAAATTGAGGACTCTTTCAAAATAAACAAATTTCTTTCACTCAAAAATATTTTCCTCTATGAGAAAAAAATAACCTTTATTTTACTCAAGGAAAAAAAAATATTTTTCAATATTTTTTTCTGCAGCGATGGGCTTGTGCGGTTTTGACAAAAACGGACTAAAACGAGAGGCTTGTTGATGAAAGTCGCCGGGTCTGAGTGCGTGAGAGAAGCGTGTTATGCCTGAGGAGTATATAGCTGAGAGCACTCTCCGGGAGTAGGTGGAGAGGTGACCGAAGGAGAGTGGTGACGCCTTGTCTTTCTCCGTCATGACACATTGTGCATTGATCAATGCGCACATACGACTTTCTCTCAGCACGTTCTCAGTTATGCAGCCCTGCGCCACTGTGTCCTGCTACGTTTACCTTAAACTAAACGTGATCCATTCCTTATCCGCGACAGACTCCTGATGTCATTGATAAAGCTTGATTAGCCTCTTTGTCGGGACACCCTTTATCCACTACTGCGCTTTCGTGGGCGTGAGCACACTCTTAATAATTGTCGGGAAGGCTAGGCTGGGGGCAGATATAGTCATGTCAAAGCCCTCGAACAATCTCAAGCATTCTTCTTCTTCTTCATTTTCCTCTTCCTCTTCCTCTTCCTCTTCTTCTTTTCCTTCATTTTCTTCATTTTCATCTTTTTCTTTTTCTTCCTCTCCTTCTTCTTATTTTTCTTCATTTTCTTCTTCCGCTTTCCCTCCTTCTTATTTTTCATCTTCTTCTTCCTCTTCTTCTTTTTCTTTTTATTTTTCTTCTTCTTCTTTTTCCTCTTCTTCTTTTTCTTTTTCTTCTTATTCTGTTTTCTTTTTTTCGTTTTCTTCTGTTTCCTCTTCTTCTTTTTCTTTTTCTTTTTCTTCTTCTTCTGTTTTCTCTTTTTTTTCTTCTGTTTCCTCTTCTTCTTTTTCTTTTTTTCTTCTTCTGTTTTCTCTCTCCCTTTTCCTTCTTCTTTTTTCTTACAAAACTGTCCTAATTGGTCTAAAAATTTCCCGTGCCTAAATCAAGCAAGCTCAATTGCAGGATCAATCTTTGATCGCTATAAAAATATTGATTTTGCTCCAAACTGTTGTTTGCCCCAGCGCAAAAATTTGCCAAGTAACACGGGCTTTTTAGGCGAATTCAGTTCCATTTGGTGGCCAAGGTGCGAAATCACGTATCTAAATTGCGGTGTTTCAAAATTTCCGCTTCTACTTTATTTTTTAAAATAAGAACAAGCCAAATTATAGCTTGATATTCGTGCAGAATATTCTGAAAACAGAGAGGAAAAATCGGAAAAGTTTTCAAGAAAGATACCTTGATTACATTTCATTTAGCCACGGCTCGTGGCGCCACGCAACAAAAATTGTTGCGTTTAGCCACAAGTTATAGGTGCTGTGTGGCTAAATGAAACATTCAAAATGAGTGTGGCTAAATGCAACAAATTTTGTTGCGTGGCGCCACGCAACAAAAATTGTTGCATTTAGCCACAGATTAGTGAGATAGATTTGAGTTGACTCATGAATACTGAGGGTAATCTTCTAGGCGAAGCATATTAGATTAGGTAAATTTAGACAGCCACAATTCAACATATTGTTAGCGAGGCCCACGTCGCGTCGCATCGGACCTGACCTAACCCAACCTAACCTAACCTAACCTAACCTAACCTAACCTAACCTAACTTAACCTAACCTCAGGTGGATTAGGCCCTGTGGCGCTGGGCCCGGATTTTTTCATGCGCTACTGAGCGACGCAGGCCTCGCTACCCGATGCGCGCCCGTAATTCAGGCGATAGGCAATCGTGAGTTGTGGCGCTCGGCCCGGTGGCGCTGGGCCCGGTGGCGCTGGGCCCGGATTTTTTCATGCGCTGGTGCGTAGTGCCACGCTCGAAAGTTTATCAAAGTTGGTTGGACAGTTTTTTACGAAAGTCAAAGATGAGCGGAAAGTCAACTGTAAGCAGAACTTTGTGGCAGGTTGCACCAGCACTTAAGCGGTTTTAAACATAAGGGAAATTTGAGGATTTTGCAGGAGTGTGGCGCCACACTCTGTGGCGCTGTGCCCGAATTTTAGCCGAGATCCGAATGTGGCGCCAAGATCTGTGGCTCATTGCACCGTAGCCCTGTTGGCTGCGGTGCAATGAGCCACAGATAACTCAGATCACACATAACTTCTGTGGCTAAATGCAACATTTTTTGTTGCGTGGCGCCACGCAACAAAATTTGTTGCATTTAGCCACACTCATTTTGAATGTTTCATTTAGCCACACAGCACCTATAACTTGTGGCTAAACGCAACAATTTTTGTTGCGTGGCGCCACGAGCCGTGGCTAAATGAACAGATACCAGATACCTTGACTAGATTTTCAATCAAAGAATCAGTAAAGTATGACAAGAATTCTACAACGTCGCAAACGGAGATACGTGGTTTCGCACTTTGGCCATCGATTTTTCTTCCAACCGGCAAAGGCGCTTCTCCACCAGCATCTCATGAATACTTGAAACTGATCTGCGACCAGCATCTGTGCGTCTGTCACCATTGTTATTTATTCAAATTTCTGTTGCAGTCCGTGCTCCTCAAGTGTTCTGCTACATGACCAACTGGGCTCGCAAACGAACTGGTGCAGGAAAGTTCACCCCGGAGGACATTGACCCCAAGCTTTGCACTCACGTTATCTACGCCTTTGGAACCCTCAAGGATCACTTGCTCACCGAAGGGGAAGAAAAGGAGGCCGAGCAGTATGAAGCTACCGTCGCACTCAGAGACAAGAATCCTAACCTCAAGGTAAACGTCAAATCGCAAAACTCTTCTGCAAATTCCTTGCGTATCACCTACTCCTTTTTATGTTTACTTATGGTAAACATAGAAAATAATGCAATTTTAACAAATAACAGAATGTTAATTCGAGAGACAATTAATTCGAATATTGTAGTATTAAATTTCGATGGCCAAAGTGCGAGACCACGTACACTGGGGGAAAAAACACATTGGATCTTGAGTCCAGACTCTTGAAAACATTGACAAGAAAAAATACTCTTCATTCAATCGGATTTTTGCTGGAATCAAAACGAAATCTGCCTAAATTAAGAGGCTTGGTTCTTGATTTAAGCTAGATTCTGATTGAATCAAGAGTACTTTTTCTTGTCGATGTTTTTAAGAGTCTGGACTCTCGATCCAATGTGTTTTTTTCCAGTGATATCTCACGATTTCATATATACGTAGTATTTATGAAAAAGGAATTGCCAATTAACACAGAGTGTTGAACAATGGACAAGTGAAGATAAAATGTATGATTTTGTTGCAGATTCTGCTAGCTATTGGAGGATGGGCTTTCGGATCGACACCGTTCAAAGAGCTCACTGGCAATGTTTTCAGGATGAACCAATTTGTCTATGAAGCTATCGAATTCTTGAGGAAATACAAGTTCAATGGATTAGACGTTGATTGGGAATATCCCAGGTGAGATAGAAATCAGACATTCCCGAAGATATGATGTATTCTATAGTCTGTCTGACCGATTAGAAGTATTGTCTTTACTTGATATTTTCAATACATCTTCGAGAAAACGGCGACCGCACTGTGTTGGCGCAATGCGTGAGGTATTCATGCAGTCTTGTAGGCGCTATGCGTCTCACGCCGATCGCTGCTGACCGCAGTGTGTTTGACGCAATGCGTGAGGTATTCATGCAGTCTTGTAGGCGCTATTCGTTTCAAGGCGACTGCTGCTGACCGCAGAGTGTTTGACGCAATGCTTGAAGTATTCATGCAGTCTTGTAGGCGCTATGTGTTTCATGCCGACCGCCGCTCCGTTCCAGGTTTAATTGCGTGTTTGGTTTCTCTCTTAACTCGACTAATTAAAGGTGTTGTCTCTTGCATCACCGAGAGACGAAAAAATTAGATATTACTATACTTTTACTCTCAGGAAATGAAAGATTTTGTCGCCTTTTCTCGTTTGTAATTTATTTTCTGAATCCGATTGTTTTCTCTCATTTTTTGATACCTACATTCAAAAAGATTGCAAAATTTGCCGCCCCCTACATTTTGCCACCATAGAACGCGGCCCATGTGGCCACCCCCTTAATCTGGCCTTGTTGGTGACGGAGAATTGCACACGAAGGAGTGGAAAATTAGTTTGAACGAAACATTCTAAGTTAATGACATGAATTCAACTAGAAAGGGATGACCTGATACTTATGTTTGGTTTAAACCTAAATATGAATTTTCTGTATTGAAACTCAATACTGCGAGGAAGTATATTAGTTTCCTTACCTTGAAATATAGAAAACTTGTTAGGAATACATTCAATTGATTACATTTTGCAATAAGGAGCCACTACCTCTGGCTCTCCCATAAAAGCACATACCTGCAGTAGAGGGAAACCAATGGCATGTATGTTGTTTCTTTAATGGGCTAGAAATGCATCTCAAGCACTTGTATTACGATGATTATATCTAATTTTACCATATTTTTCTTCAATATTCAATCAAACTGGTTTTCACTATTATTTTTTAACTTAAACTTAATTTTCTGTATTTTTTTCTAACTCAGAGGTGCAGATGATAGAGCTGCTTACGTTAACTTGTTGAAAGAACTCAGGCAAGCCTTTGAAGGTGAGGCGAAAAGTTCTGGACAGCCCAGGCTTTTACTGACTGCTGCCGTTCCCGCCAGCTTTGAGGCCATTGCTGCTGGGTAAGTCTTCAAAAAAATGTGTTTTCATAAAACTTCACATAGATAAAAATATACTTTTGAACTTGTCGAGACTTCCAAATGCATCTCATGGGTAAATTTTTGTCTTTTTCAAAAATTAAAAACAACTAGGAGAGATCAGGTCCTCCTTATTCGAAGGATCTCTGTGTCACACTTCAATTACCGATGTCATCTGTAAATATACTCATTCTTTAGTAGATTGTCCAGCAGTCTGGATGTCTAGTCAGGGACCGATCGAACATGTTCATTACCTTGACACTTATCAAATTAAACTTATGAGGGCGTAAAACGGTATGTCAATAGTCAATTTAAATTTCCCGCTCGTTAAAAAACTTTCTATACAGCGCACAGACATTTTCTTTTCATTTTTAATAATCTCCCCCATAAGAATGAGAGGGAGAAATTTTTCGAACGAAATTATACTGATCTGCTGAAAGTCTGTACAAGAGAATATTTGTGCGGGCTCCTTAGAAGACACTAAGCTTCGTACTATACCAAAGATTCACTGCAATTGGCTGAAAAATCAGCGCAACTCTTCTGATGTAAAAAATTAAGTTGCCGAATTAAAATTGGCAATAGTTGATAAGCCTTGGTTTTTTTCTGTCTAATGCGGTCCAAATATGAATCAACAGACTCTCGCGAGGTATATTAAAACTTTTTAGAATTTAATATGGACAATTATAAGCTGAACCGTTATCAATTGAAAAATAAAAGACTAGAGTCCCTTTATACCCAGAGTTAAGACAACTCGATTATCAGCTGACTGGCAGCCGGCCTTGGCTGGCCATGGAGGCCGAATCGAGTGCACCCGAACGAACGATATTGAGGGATAAGGATCAGGAATCCTGCGATGTCTGTCACACAAAAACAACAACATCAACTAAAAAGAAAATGAGATTGGTTTGTGAATAATTTCTTAATCTATTTTCATTTCGGACCGATGGAAATAACAATTTACTCTTGATAAACCACAGTTAGGTAATATTTTCATTATTCTTATTTAAATTCGAGGTACCGCCATATTGGTGCACTCGTTTCGGCCTCCATGAGCGAGAACCAATCAGAATTGGATTTTTTTCAGGCCACTTTCAGCCCAACCAAAAGGTAGCCAAAAGTGAGTTGTCTTAACTCTGGGTATAAAGGGACTCTATAAAAGACTATATCGACGGTGAAACTACCAAACCACGTATCTCGGTTTGCGACGTCGCAGACTTCCTGTCATACTTTATTTTTTAAATGAAAAACTACTTAACGTCCAGTCTTGAAAATTTCTGTGATTTTTCCTCTTCGTGCGGAGAAAAATTCTGTGAAAATTTCAAGGAATGATATTGATTTGGTCTACCTCAAAAAAATAAAATGCGAGCATAGATTTTTAAACACCGCAAACGAGATACGTGGTTTGGTAGTTTCACCGTCGATATGCACTTGCATTCACTATCTGACGACTAACGCTATCTGGCGGCGCAACAATGAACTACACGTTCGCCGCGCCGAGCTGTTACCCCTCCCCTCACTGCACCTCTCATTGATGGTTGGCCCATCGCACCCCTGTCGCCAGTCTGTCTGGTGATGACTCCAATTCCTTTGAGCCGCGCCGCAATCTCTCAGGAATTTGCGGAAGCGCCACCGTCTAGTTTTGATTCCTCCGTTATCTCTTTCACACCCTCCTGACCCACTTTTTTGGGTGCGCGCAGTGACCACCCACGGCAAACTTGCGGACTCAATGGACACACGTCCCCTTGTGCGATTCACATGTAGAATATACGGTTTCTCCATGGTTTTCAACGAGGAATTCGAATCTGAGATCAGATTTGGGCTGCCATGCATTACATAATTTCGAGACACGATGCCTTCCATAAATTACGTAAAACTGGTCTAATTGGTGCCCTTAACGGGAGGGGGGGGTTGCATAATTTGGCGCGAAATTGTGTCAAAAAAATTGATGCCGTTTGAAGCATCAAATGTATTCTAAGGCAAGTTATAGCGTAATATAGAAGAAAAAAGAGGGGGGGGGGAAAGAAAATAGGAAAGGAGAAAAAAAGTGTAAATTTGTCCGAAAAACTTCATTTTTAAAATTTATTTTTTTCTCGACTCAAGTAAAGACTTATACTTACGTAAGGCAGTATTTCAACTCCCTCTTCCTCCTAAAGGCATCCGCAAGTCACCTCTTGACGCTTACAAAATAACGATTTAGGGGCCGTCTATAAATCGCGTTGCGTACTTTTTCGGCATTTTTGACCCCCACCCCTCCCTCCATCGTTACGTTTTTGTGACGTACGGGCCTATCCTTCAACATGTAAAAACAAAATGGCGCAACGCTCTCCTCGACACCCCTTGCCATTCCCCTCAAGCGTTACTTACTTTATGGACGGCCTCATTGGGGTGTTAGTCCGTTATTTGTTTTAAAATTAAAATTAGGAAAAAAGTATGTCCTGTCTAACAAGATCAGGCAGGTTCTGGATCATCTCATGTATTAATTGTAATATATGAATAATATTTTTCAGTTATGATGTACCGGAGATCTCCAAGTATTTGGACTTCATCAACGTGATGACCTACGATTTTCACGGCCAATGGGAAAGGCAAGTCGGGCACAACTCACCCCTGAACCCGTTGGAATCAGCGACGAGCTATCAGAAGAAACTCACCGTTGACTACTCGGCCCGAGAGTGGGTGAAACAGGGTGCACCTAAGGAGAAACTCATGATAGGAATGCCCACTTACGGTCGCTCTTTCACCCTAGTTGACCCGACGAAGTTCGACATTGGCGCCCCCGCGTCTGGCGGTGGCACCCCCGGAAAGTACACCGCCGAGGCTGGTTTCATGTCTTATTATGAGGTAAGTCCGTCGAAAAAATCATGAGAACCATACTGGGAAGCTTGGTTTTAGGACATTCTGTCAACGAATTTTCGTCCGCACACTTGTTTTGTCCAGTAGTTGACGTCCACGCGTAAAATAAGCAAGAGTGACTCGGTCCAAGTGTTATATTTTTGTCCATGTAATATTATAACGGCAGTATCAACATGAGAAAATTGAGACCCTCAATCTGACTCTCTCTCTCAATTTCAGAGAGAAAGAGGTGTTGTTATGGTAACTCATTTTTTAAATGAAATGTTACTTTCTTCTTTTGATTTGTCTTTCCAAATTGTCATTGGTGAGCATTTGGTTTTATTTCTATCCTTAAAATTGTCGATATAAAATATATCTTGTATACAGTTTTTTTTCCTTTTTTTAATGAAAATATTGCTTCATTATAAAAGCATTTACATTTTTAAAACGTGGCAAATATTTGTAAAACCTTTTCTAAGCGTGGCATTGATATCAATCCCAATGAGCCGTAGTTGGGTTGAAAGAAACTTTACACAAAAATGAAAGGAAGAGAGGAAAAAATCAAGAAGCACGCAATCTTCAGTTTTATACCATTTGTACATTGATCTTTTAGAGTCAAATACGTCCAATTTTGAGCGTTTGGTTGCACGTATACCACGCTGCAGCCCAGTAAAAGCACAAAATATGAAAGAAAAAATCGAAGTGCTTTGAAAATCATTAAATTTGACACGGAACCACCTTAATATTTACAAAACACATGTCATATTCCTTTTATACTTATTTGTTCAATCAATTTAAATGAGAATAATCCATGCAGAGTGTGCGAACACTTCAAAATCATGAGTTGTAAGTCGCTGATTCCGCGAGTTTAAATATTAGAGAGTAACACAGAGCGGAACGGCGTGCTGCCAGAGCGGAACGGCGTGCTGCCAGCGCGAAACGCGCATTGGCGCCTACAAACCTAAGGGGATACTTCACGCATTGCGCAATGCTTCAAGTATCACCTTAGGTTTGTAGGCGCCAATGCGCGCTAGCCGGCCGCTCGCCGCAGCGTGTTACGGCGCCTTATTAAACAACTATTTCACAACAGAGGTGTTGCACAGTATCATACGAAATTGAAGACGCTCTAACGTATTAAAAATGGCAGGCATCCTTTAAGAATACGGACATTCCCTCGCAAAATAGATCGAGATACTACGGCACAAAAGGAGAGCATATTAGTCCAAAAACTTACTAAATCCTAGCATCTGTATTTTGACATTTAGCATATAATTTGCCAAAAAAAAAAACGCGTGGACGTAAACTACTAGAAAAAACAGGTGTGCGGACAAAAAATCGTTGACGAAATGTCCTATAATCGGAAGCTTAGCTCCGATTGAAAGAAATAAAACAAGAATCTAAGTGCAGGTGTAACAATCTGATCATCTTGCAGCCTGTCAAAATTATGTTTCATTCCTGTTCCAATTTTCAAGCAAAATTTGAGGTAAAATTAAATTTTTTCACCAGTAAACAAATTACTAGCGTAAATATTATATTATATAATATTCAGATTGTAAGCTTTTTTGAAACAACATCTTGTTGCTTCCGATAGGGAAACAACAAAAGGTAATAATATCAGGTTTTGAAGAATTTAGAGTTTAAAAGAATCGTATGATTAGAATTTATCATGAGTAAAAGAACAATGACAAGAATTGCCTCTTAAAGTTTTAGGTATTAAAGTTTATTCAAGAAAAGAGCAACTTGAAATGTTGCGTAGATTCAAAAATACGAACCAGGCATTTCAGCATCGTTACATCTTCATACACGTACTGTGCTTCTGCTCTTCAAAATATTCTTCAACTGTCCATTGAAAGTATTCTGTGAATTTGTTCTCCTGATCACCCTAAAAATAGTCAGGAGTGCGTTTTTTGTCGCTCTTTCTAGAGAGTAAACTTTCGCCGTTTCACCTAAAAATGTCGATGACTCGATTGATTTTATGATCAAATTTCCATTTCAGGTGTGCGATTTCTTACACGGCGAAAAAATTTCCATTTCATTATGATCAAATTTCCATTTCAGGTGTGCGATTTCTTACACGGCGAAAACACCACTTTAGTGTGGGACAATGAGCAACAAGTACCATTCGCCTACCGAGGAGACCAATGGGTTGGCTTTGACGATGAGAGAAGTTTGAAAACGAAGGTAAGAGAATTCTTCAAGTTCTGTAATTTCACATCACAACTCGTATAAATGCTCTTTTGACTATAGAGTGCAATATTTTGGTGGCATCAGCTTTCAATTTAACTGGAACATTATCGTGCTTGCGCTTTCAATATCACAAAAAGTAAAACAAGTGAATACATAAATAAAAATAATCAAATAAAATATAGACAGGATAAAGTATGCACTATCATCTCCCTAATTGTGAATGAAAGGTTTGGTCATCGTTGATCCTCATAATGGAGAATTTACACACAATTTTTATTGCTTTATCTGAGAGTTCTCAATGAGCTTAGTTCGCAAAATGTTCATAATTTTTTTCTGAAATGAGTAATCGTAGAAAAATATATTTAAAAAAGTGAGAAACTATGCCACCTTGTGACATCATCTGGTGGCATTTCTCAACGTAACACGTGTATTTTAGCAGATTATGTTATTTTCTTATATTGTTTCCCATAAATTGTTCAATTTAGAAACCTCGTTCTCAGTGCTCTTATTAGTTCTATTCTAAGCATGAGATTTACAAACTTTGACATACCTGCTAATTCTCTATTCATTAAACTATTTTTTCCTACGATCCACCACTGTTCTAATCTACTTCCTCATTTTTCTCCTAGATGGCTTGGCTGAAGGAGGAAGGATTTGGTGGAATTATGGTTTGGTCGATCGATATGGATGATTTCCGAGGCACATGCGGCTCTGGAAAATTCCCTCTGCTCAACGCCATGAGGTCTGAGTTGGATGACTACAAAGTGAAACTTGAGTACGATGGCCCGTTCGAATCTTACAATCCCAACGGACAGTACACTACCAAAGATCGTAAGTATTCATTTATTTGGCTGCTTAGCGCGCCTTCATTTGCATTGCACGCAACACGCCAAGCTTCATTACGTCTCTAATCGGTCTCATTGAGCAGAAGTCTATCACGCGTTTAAACTTACAAAAGTTGAGCATGCAATTTTTATTCCTCAATCTAAAGGACCGATTGGCAAGATTAGATAGAAATTTCAAAATTTCACCTTTTTCAATACGGTTTTAAGTGAGTATGCTTTCGTTAGGAAAAATGCTCAACATAGAATAATATAACATTATGCCTTACATGAGTTTATTAACGACAAGGCTTATTAGCTTTTACAGGCATTATTTTATTTGACCCTCCGCCTACATTCGAATGAACATTAAGTTTTAATGAATAATTGTATTGTATCAAAAAATTTTACTCATCGGTTAAATTTCATTAACTGTTTATCAAAACAGCAAAAACAATCAGTATTGTAAAGTGTTGATAAAGTTTACTCAGTTTTTTCGAAAAATAGTTGATGGTCGAAAATGGAAGCTGAATTTTTTGGTTCCTCTTGGGAGGATCATTGACCAATTTTATATCAAAACCATGCTCAATGCAAGCAAGATGTAAACTCATAAAGTAGTAAGACAACACTCCAAATTTTGTTGAGAGTCTAAGGAACGATGACAAAAACATGACCGTATACCAGTGTTCTGTGTTGATTTAATCAGCACAAGCTTATTCGATTCTCTGAATCAGTGAGAACGAAAACATCAACTCGAAAAAATTAAAATAATCAAGACACACACAAAACTGTATATTAGGTGAAGAAGTTAGTCTAAGAAAAATATTTTTGGTGCTTAAAAGCAAATATTTAAGGAAACTCTCAATGTCAAAGTTGGCACAGATACGATAACTTCAATGACCTTTATGAAAATTGTCTATATCCTTAGTGAAAAGAGAGCATTTTCGAGGTACCGAGTTGGTGTGTTTTCGTTCTCACTGTTTCAACTGTGTCTATCATATACCATGTGTACTATTTTTTCTTATGTAGGTATTATTTTATTATCATCATTTTCTTTCCATCGCAGCAAACACGGTGACATGTGAGGAAGAAGACGGTCATATCTCATACCACCCAGACAAGGCTGACTGCACCATGTACTTCATGTGCGAAGGAGAGAGGAAACACCACATGCCATGTCCATCCAACCTCGTCTTCAACCCCAAAGAAAACGTCTGTGATTGGCCTGAGAATGTCGAGGGCTGCATGCAACACACTCAAGCCCCGCCCACCGCCAAGAGAAAATGATCAAAATGCCACCCAAAACCTCAATCGACTTAAAATCGCCGTGAGCCCGTAACGTAGTTGTATTTTCTCGTTGATCCCGAAAATTAAAAAAGCTGGGAGGCAGCCTCTCTTCGACCTTTTCTGATCAGCACGATCGAGTGACGTAATCAAACTGATCTGAAAAGACTACTGGTCGATTGTTGAATTGTTATCAAATTACCATTATTGATAGAGAGGTTCATCGAATGATGAGGCTCTATCGATCAAGGTCATTCAATAACTGATCAACGATCGACCCGTTTTCATGGAAATTTTTACGGCCCAAAAATCTTTTAAAACGCTAGTTTCTTCAACAATCCAAGCGAAGATTTTCAAGAAATTTTAAATTTTTTTGGCCTTTGATCTCTTTCCTACCTTAAGAGGAGATTTTATATCATGCACCCCTTCTTGTAAAATTGTTTTTTAAATGTCACTGGTATGTTCAGACGAAGGGAGACAGATGATGGCAAAAGAATGAAGCTTGCTCAACAAAAAATTTGAAACATGCGTCTTTTCCACCACTCACTGGAGTTATTAATGAAAAAATAAAGAGAGTGCAACATTGAAAGGACGTAGGTACAAATCATTCTAAGCTCCATATTCCACAACAGACGTTTAAAAAAAAAAAACAACCAGTTTTGCAACATTTTCCAACCATATTTTTTGTTGTGCAAGGAGGACATATGTATTCATATTTTCAGTATTTCAATTTAAATCGCCAAAAAACTCTCTTTCGCCATGTCTGAATCATAACCATCTTGAGCATGCCATTGTAATAATATGGAAAATATCAGGGAAATACGAGAGTAACAGGAATTGAATTATCTAGAAAGCTTTGACATTTGAAAAGGGTTTCCCTTTTGTAGAGGTTGATGATAATGAAAATATTGAAAATTTGCATGTAAATAGTGGTGTAAGCTTCCCTTAAAAGTGCAAAAATACTATGTTTCGGTAAAATTACGTGCCAGTGAATTCATTATGAACGGCAAGTCTTAATGAACACAGCGGTTTGATATGAGTTTCATCCGTATGAGTTGTGATGAGCGCGATGATCTCCTCTAGACGCGCGCAGATGAATAAAAGACGCAAAGTAAAAAGAGGTACGGCTCTGAACTTTCGAAACAATAGAGGTTGATGAGATTTTTTTTTTGAATCGTCGTAAACTGGAAAATATTTCTGGCGGGAGAAAATATTTGAAACTGCCATACGCTTCTTCTTTTTAAACAAGAGCACCTAGTGTAAGCGCAAATACTTTAAAGAAATACCGTTTGTTTTCATGAGTTTTATTTTTTTCAGTTTGTATTTAAGCATATCTTTGCCACGGAATTTTTAACCAATAAAAAGAAGAGAGGAAACAACGTTGAAATGATCGTTCCTTTAATGCCAGAACAAGTTTTACCGAATACATTTGTAAATAGAATTTCATTCGTATAAAATGGCTGCGGAATTGAAGCGATGGGATCAGAAATTGTGATAATAACTGTTCAAATGTAGTTTAAACTGTTTTCAATCCAAATTAAAAGTATGCTTAAAATTATTTTATTTAAGAACTTGTTGTGAATCGCTTTTATCGCGCTGTCATGGCAACCTCATATCAAACTAACTAAAAGTTAGAGTATGTAAAAAGAAAACACAAAAAACCATGAATAAAAATGAAAATAATCTCGTTTTTACAAAAACTAGCTGTTTATATTTTATATTTATTTTAGGCATACTTATATTATTTTTAGCAAATTTGTTAATTGTGTACAAATGTTTCCATTGAGTAAATAAAAACTGAAAAAAATTCAATTTTGTAGAAATTTGATTTTGTTTTTCCGTCTCGTGACTTTGTACCTAAAGAGCAGGGCTACAGCTTTGTTTATTTTCTCTTATTTAGTACGCCCTGTCCTCGTTTGAATGGAATTGAAAATATTAACAATAAGTAGATACGAAGGAGTAGAACCGAGAACAAATTCAGCATCTAAACTTGCACCAATGCTAAGTTTGTTGCATCTAGCGTGTATGAAGGGGCTTCTTAAGAGACAGAGTTTACGATAGATTCTCATGAAATTTTCCAGAGAGTGATGCGATAACATAAAAAGAAACTTGACGATGCTAAATCTGTAGGGAGCAGTAATGTTTCATTCTTCTTATTTTTACAAACTCATTATGAGTGAATTAACATTAGGAAATCTTTCATCTCGATTTTCGGCTGGTTACCGATAATTGATTGGAGAAGTGGCTAGAGATTGCACCTTATGATTATTTGTTCTGTTTTGATTATTCTATTTCCCTCTAATTTTAGTTTATACTCCCAGCACAATCCTAAAACGAATTGGAAACATTTGGGAGGAAAGCTCGGAGTCAGCAGAGATGCAAGAACATCAAAGAGTTTCAATAGAAATATTTTGATACGTTTCAGAAAACACAAAATCAAGAATATTACCCGTTTCCCTGCTTAACATCATGTCGTTGATGGGATTTTTCAAACAAAAGGCGAAACATGCACTGGAAAAAAAAAAAAAAAAAAAAAAAAAAAAAAAAACATCGGATATAGAGTCCAGACTCTTAAAAACATCGGCAAGAAAAAATACTCTAGATTCAATCAGATTTAAGCTTAAATCAAGAACCAAGCCTCGTAATTTGAGCGGATTTCCTTTTGATTTAAGCTTAAATCTGATTGAATCAAGAGCCTGTTTTCTTGTCAATGTTTTCAAGAGTCTGTGCTCTAGATTCAATGAGTTTTTTTCCAGTGTGGAGTGATTATTTTATTCACGGGTCTAATCAATCTCTGCTAAGTTACGACTGAACATTACCGAACGGCGAGGCGCCGACATTTTTATCGCATCGTTCACTTTCACGCCCGTAGACGTAAGATGAGAATTCACACTCACACGCTATCTCGCGAGAGGTCACACATCCAGACTGTAAAGTTCAAGTTAGTGAGCGGATTGAATATCCCAAAATTCGAAAAAGCATCGCCATTTGGAAGCATATGCCAGATCCATCGTGACTTTGCTTCGAAGGGGCAAAATCGCAACGTTTGAAGTAAATGCATTATTTCTCTTAGAAATGTCAGTTGCAACGGTCGCAGAATTGTGTTTTGATGTTTGAATTTTGTAGATTAGCATCTGTCCAGGCAGCAACTGTCCACGTTCAATATGCAATTATATGCACGTTGCAATTTATGTAATGCATGTTATGAATTAGAATAATTTTTGTTACAGAATTTATTTTTTGTGAAAATAGCATTATATCAGAAACTTGAGAAAGAAAGTGTCAATCGTGATATCGTCCTTTGAAAAGTCAGGTATTTGATGTCATCCACCGCGGTAGTGACACCCTTGGTTTCATCCAGCTTGCTTTCATCTAAGTTTCACGTTGAGTAACCGATGCTAATGAATGTCTTACTGACTAAAAAAAGGAAGGTAGATTAACCCAAGGGGGTCACTACCGTGACTGATGACGTCAAAAACCCGACTTTTCAAAGGGCGATCGGTTAATATTGAACGCAAAACGCAAAGAGTTGTTATTTGGACAGATCTTATTATTATTAGCTGATCTACAAGAATAAACATCAAAACACAATTCTGTGACCAGCGCAACTGACCCATTATTTTTGACCTATCCTTGTTTTGTTTGAGATCAATAGACTCCTGGGAGGTCCAGACCGTGTGATATAATAATTCCATTCCCTTTAAAATCTCATGAGAAACGTTCAATTCAGTGATTGTGTCAAAAATGAACTTTTAACTAGAGCATTATATGGCAAGATTCTTTTCTTCTGATTTTTTTTTTCCAAAGAGAAAAATTTTGCCCATTGAAAATTTGATACAGAGTACATAACCGTAACGCACGCAGTGCACGGGATAGGTCTTTCAAAATAAGTGTCACGCCATCAAAAATGAGAAAGTCAAGCATAGATGTATCGATTCCATGGATCGAACTTGTATCCAATCTCCAGCCTATAATTTTTAAAATCAAATTGATAGATCTTTAGATATAATCATGACGAAAAAAAATGGATATCCGGGAGGTCAGAGAGCCTGAAGTAATGATAACCCCGTAGCTGAGGCAAAGCAACTATACTCTTTTTGGCTCGATCAGGAATAGTTAATATAAGTTATTTTTTAGTTTGAAGATGGAGAAAAGGTAAAAATAGTAAGGAAACGTGACAGGGAGAAAAGTAAAGGTTAACGTTTTTTTTTTTTTTTTTTTTTTTTTTTTTTTTTTTTTTTTTTAGAAAGCTGCACTAATGTGCTCACCTGTGATGAACCATCGTATATGAACAACTAATGTTATGCATGTTGAGCGATTAATGAAATGCATATTAGGAGTTGGAATAAAAGTTTGTTATGACATTTATTTTTTATAAATAAAGCTTTACACCAGGAACTTGAGAAAGAAAGTTTCTGTCAACATGGCGGTACACTAAGAAGCCTGCAACAGAAGTATGAAAGGAATCGAATGAGGAAGAGAAGACCTGTTCTTTACCTAAAAGAGATCATGCTTCAGCGTTCTTCATACCTCAACGATGCACGCGGCAATACCGACATGAAATTAACACCTTAGCGGTCTTGTTTTCGGAAGTACCTCAATGAAATGCAAATCCATCCTGTGAATAATCCTCTGCGGTTTGCGCACTCGAAGAGATGGAGTATCAAAGGCACCGGTGAGATTTTCGTCGGACAGATGGGCGCAGCACGCGTGTCTCTCAGCTTCCAGCATAATCATCGAATACAGATGTTACATCAGGGATTTCGGCGAAACTGGCGTACGATATGCTTTAATTAGTTATGATTTATATCGGAGAGCCTTTTTTGGAGGCAGGGCCATTGGCAGGCTATCTAATTATTGACTGCTTAATACACCGCGGTGACGAATGGGCGGTGAAAAGACCCGGGCCCAAAGTTCAACATCACTCAAACGGCAGCCCCCGCCGACTTTGCGCAATCTGACAAAAATACAAGGGCACCTCCCTGATTACGCAAAAAAGGTGCCTAACCTGCAAATGGATTTCATTATTATACATACATGTAAGTCACTTTTACAACGCACCCGGGCGTTCTGCGACATACAAACGCCACATGTGCTTATCTTCCCAAAGGTTAACGGGCAACTGCGGGCTGATTATTTAAATTGATTGACGAAGCGATAGACTAAAAGGACATACGGAGTATGGAGCGATCCTATTGGTTGAAACGGGTGGTAATTATAGACTTAAGAGGAAAATGATGGAGTGGGTTACCGTTAGTTAACCCAGCATGTCTATTACTTGCCTCCTTCATCCAATGAAATCACCCGCTTCCATCAACAAGATCGCTTTATTTTCAGGTTGTCTTCCTAGTATATTGCTTTGTCCATGAATTTCAATAATCAGCTCTCTGACAACGTGATACCTCTGCGACAACCGCCTGCTGCCACCCCTTCATGGGACGTTCGACTTTTGGTTTGGATTGGGTATGGGTATCCCCTGGGAAAAGGAAATTTCATTAGTCACAACGAAAATATCAAAGGCACAAATGCATCCTACTTTGATCCTCACTTCCACTATCTTATTCTTGGTTTCATATAAATCCAATGGTGAAGTTAAAATTGATTTCAGCTAAAAGTGCATTATTTTACTAAGAATTTTTTAAGCTTATACGAGGATTTTACCTTGTGCGTGGTTAGTTTAAAGTATTGTCTTGGAAAGGGAACAATATGGAACATATCTCGGCCTCTCTCCCCGTATCTCATTCTACTCATATCTATTTCGGAGATTTTAGGGCACAAAAATTGAAGAGTTGGATGAGTGTGAGATTGTCGCCAATACCTGACGATTAAGTCGTTCTTTTCGTGTTGCAAGTACACTCGCATTACCATGGTTACAGTCATTTTCCTGCGGATTGGTCTTTTCTACAAGTACACTGAAAAAAAAAAAAAATTGAAGTTGATTTAACATTCAAGATGTAAGAAAAGTGTGCGAGAACTTACAAAATGCTGAATTAACTGTTACAACAGTTACTGTAGCAATATGTCAAGATGTATAACAAACTGCCGAAGCGGGTAATTTAGCATTTTTTGAGTTCTCACACACATTTTTACATCCGGGATGTTAAATCAACTTCACTTTTTTTTCGGTGTGATCCATTTCCAATGATTCATCCTGAGTTTAGAATCGGAGTAAAGCAAAATTCAATGTGACACGGTGAGCTGAACAATAATTCTAACCACTTTAACATACGTATGCTAAAAACAGTTCCCCATTCTTGAGTGCTGGAGAGTTTCTTCGATTTGAGACGACAAAATCGATCAGAGATGGATTTCTAAATTAATCGTCTTCTCCAAAAGCACTGTATCTCATTCTCTCTTCACGCACTAACAGCTTATTTGGACGTCTATATTATCCACGCTTGTCGAGGTTAGAGGTACGTGGAACTGATTTTTGAAAACCCTATAAAATTGGTATTTACCAAACGAACAGGCATGCGCGGTCTCCGCGTTTAAAAATCGGTAAGGAATAAAAGAATCCATGGATCTACGAATAAGAAATTAGATTAATCATCATTTTTTGTGCATTATCGTTAACCCACATTTCTTGATGCATCTAAAGCTTTAAATGAGAATTTCAGTTAATTTGCACTGCTTTTAAGCAATAAAAAGTCAGATATATTTTTTTCTCGCGTATGTTAGAGAGTCTGTTAAAAATTATTGAAGATAGGAAAGGTCAAAATACTATGAATTTCTCATTAAATTGTGTTCAATTTTTTTTTTTAAATGGGAGAATAATTTCAATTACTCTATCTTCAAAGAAACATATAATTACG